ACACCAATTTGTAAATTGTTTAAGATTTGAATCCCGCCCCAACCAATTAACAATTTACTGCTCAGTTTTGTCACCTTTCTTTGAAGATTTTTTTTGTTATACCTCCGATCGACTGATCAATTTTTACACGACCATTACTCAGTAATGATCGTAATTTACTGTGACTATTATCGTTTACAGATCTGTGTTTCAGACTAAAACATCACCAATTTTATATTTTCCAGTCCCTTTATCACCACTAACTTACAACATGATCTCAGCTGCTCTATTGTCCCCCAGATCAACCTACCACCTACTGTTGAATTCTTACTGAAACTCGATACCTGTAAGTAGATTTCTTCAGACCTCCCTAGCTCTCTCTCTTGACTGCAAACTGTGTTACCGAGGTGTCTTCAGGCATGACCACCACGACCATTCTTCATTCTGTCATGTTGGATGATTTGTCACCTGATCCAGTCTCTGGTTCTTACTGGCCCCGTCTTGAGGTCTACTTTTATTACACGTACCTTATTCTTCTTCTATTGTTCACCCTGGCTCGTCGGTTTGCAGTTTGTTTTGTTAAGTAATTTAGCAGTTTACTTATGACAATAAGTTTTAGGTTTGTTGATTTAGTATAAGCAGACTTTGTTTCTGATAGCTACATCTGCGATGGTCTGATCTGCAACTTTTTCTGAAGAATATTTCTGAAGAATTCTTTACTACTCTGTTAAATACTGTAAAGGGCGAGAAAAAAAATACAGAATAAAGATGTTGATACAGTGACACCTCAGTAAGAATAGCAAATGATCTCACTTCGTAAATTTGCAAATGACCCCTTAGGTACCATTCATCCGAGGCCCACATACTACAACTCCTATTCTCTCGATACTTATAATTATTTAAATATCCTGATCTCCCGTCGTAAGTCGTGACATAGATGTAGCTAATCTAGGGGAGCCCACACACTCTAGTATCGACACGTGACTATTACTAGCCGAGCATCAGTAATCAGTATACAGAATAATGCAGATCTGTTTACAGAATATTGCAGAAACGGCTGCAATTACGTGTCAAGTGACACAACAACGTGCCTCGTCTCCCCACATCCATTACAGCCTTCTCACCAGCCTAAACACAGTGTCTCCAATACTCTGCAGCTCTCCACCTCCACATTTCACGTCAAACTCCAATGAGCAGAGTTAAACACCAGTCACCTGGACTTGCAGGCTCCTTTTAACTTACTGCTGAACTCAGGAGATGTGTGGTGTAATGAGGAGGCTGGTGCCTGGGATCAGTTTACATGTTGCACTTGTTATTAGTGTATTGTAGGTGCTGTAGAGGGAATATTGCACTTGTTATTAGTGTATTGTAGGTGTTGTAGACTGTAGAGGGTGAGAGGTAACGTACAGGGCCGGGGGCTCCAGGCTCCGGTACTGGCGGTTCTATTTTGGGAACTCATTCAATTTAGCAAAATTCAAACTTTGGAGGCAAATTATGCGTAATCCAATGAGAGACGAGCCCTATGGTATCGGTATAGCTTACATGTTTCTATGCGTTCATTATCATAACAATGCTATAGACATAACATTCACGTAACTTGCCGTTTGGGGCGTTTATGAACGACCGGAATTGAATAGGCCAGGAAGTAATGAGATGTTTCTGCAAGGATTGTAAAGTTCCCCAATATGTTGGCATTATTCGATTAGTAATCGATTGATAGTCCATTGGCGTTCAGATATTTGATTTTATCAATAATCTGCATAAAAACTTAACAAAAGCTTTCCTTTTCATATATAACTCCATTATAGACTACGGAGTACGGACGTACGATTATTGACAAATTATCAGCTTTATTTACCTCCAAATACTTAACTGATAACGTCACATATTATCAACATGGAATATCTCCCAGAATCATCCGATAGGTATAGGGTATAGGCACTAGGCAGCCGGGACTACTATATCTTATCACGCCAAGCTTTAGAACTCCATGGACGTGCTAGACTCGCCCTGGAGTCATTAGTGATTAAAGTCTATTTAACAGTCTATTTGTGTAAAACTGTGAAATGCGGTGCCACCAAACAGGGTATTAGCAAAGGGTAGATTTCATTATTACTGTACTCAAATTTCCGATCGCGTACAGTCCTAACGACAATAGTTTAAACCTCCGATAATCTCATTAATGACATAATACCGTACGCTCAATATTATTCGGTCCTCCTGCCAGTTTACAAAAATTGAAATTATTACTGTTTGAAAGCCTACTATTTCTTTTAACGGTTACATAATACATACCATTCGATTTATTTTCTTTATTTTCCGTGACAAAATTCTTAATCCACCTTTCGGCTTTCATGGCAGTCTAATCTAGAAAATAAGTATAAATTTCCTGACGACAAGTCCAGGTTTTAATACGTTTTGTTTTGTTTTGCAATATCAGGTCCTTTACATCTGGCCGGTAATACGCAAACTGCAGCCGATAATAAACAGATCAATTACAGGCTATAATCGTGTGTACAAATATCAATTACAGGCTATAATCGTGTGTATAAATATCAATTACAGACTGCTATTTTCGTGTGTACACGACGTAATGAGGAGAAGTAATATTGTGAATGTAGTATACTGGTTGGAGTGTGTCGTTTAGTATCATCTGGTGAACTTGTTTATCATTGGCCCTCAACAGCTCCCTTTCTGTCTAAACTATTTATTGTGTTTATAGTTTATGAGTTTATACCACGATGTGTTTTGGACGAAATGTCGTATTGTTGCAAGAAAAGAATTGGTGTTTAACGGTTGATAATTTAGTTTACCTGTTTAGTTTGCGTTATCAATTGAACATTTTAATCCGTAGTGTTTGAATCTCGTCGTTATCTGTTAATCTGTTGTTGTTGTTGTTATCATTTGGAGTTGTTTTAAATCAAATTGCTTCTGGCGTGGTACATCAACATGTTTTTAATCGCTGATATGATCGATTGTGTAATAAAAACAATATTTATGTCTTTATCCTGGCTATGAGCTTATTCATGTTGTGCTTCTTCCATTCAGCTGAGGGGCATTCAATCGACATCGTAATCGATCCGAAGGAATGGTCCGACAAATTCCATGTTCTAAATCAATCATCGCTGGATGTGTGAACCTAGATCAAGGTTAAATGTTGCCTTATAATTTGCCCATTATTAGTATAGTTAATTTTATTGACGTCTGAAAGCGTTTGTGGAATCGGATTAAAAGATTGAATACAGCCAGATCGCCTGTAAACGATACTGTGTACGCAAACCCTGTGTACGCAAATCACATACATGCAAAGCCCGATCACATATATCTAGATATCAATCCCCAAGTTTTTAAGGACTGAAGTAATAAAAATAAAACTTTACGGAACATTGAAGGCCTCATGGTGTAGGGCTAGGCTACCTGAATCCACTTAATCACAAAATAGATCTGTAGTTTAGCCAAAACACTGCTGAGCCTAAGTCTATGTATTTCATAATTAATACTTTTCGAATGCTTCTAAAGCCTTTTTTGATTTGAAAACATAATGCACAACGAATTCAATAATTTGTGCATTCTCTCGCCAATCTGCTAATATAGAAAACTCTCATTAACGATTACTTACCCTCTCGCCGATTAACGAATCTAGATTCTAGAACATACCAGAAAACAGTAAACTTTGTTCATTCCTCTCGCAAATCTGCTAATACAGTAAACTCTCATTAACAATTAATTACCCTCTCAGGTTATGTAAACCTCTAAAAAGACCCACTTAAAAACCTCTTCGTAAAACCGGTGAGTTTATTTTACTGTTTTGAAATTCTCTATTACAAAACATGTAATCGATTCTATTCAGTGTCTGTTTACACTCTCGTCATTTGTCATTAATTTTGTCGTCATTTGTCATTAATTTTGTCTGTGTTGGATGTTTTCCGTGTGTTTAACGTTCCATGTGTTTTGATAACAGAAGAAATGTTATCCTGTATTACTACTCGTACTCTGTTACCATACGGTCAAGTTTCACTGTCGTGGATTCTTCTAGTTCATATGTATCATGTTCTCAAGTCATTGTTCGGTAATTTTAACATAATTTAATAGAAATTTTATCGGGGATGTTAATAAATTTTCTTATCTTTCGTTGTGCTGCCAAATACTTATGCTGGAACTGACCCTTAACTTACAATAAAGGAGTCACTCCTAACAAAGGCTTTGATGTAAACCACAGTGACTTAAGACTATCATTTTATGAACTTCGAATAAGATCTTTAGTGTAATTGTGACAGTCACTATACCGTTCAGCAGGCGCTTCACGTGCTTAATATATCATCTCGCACGTGCTGAGTAGCTCTGTGCACGTGCACATACCGTGCATCACTTTGCACACAGTAGGTGCCGTTTTCATACCCTCATCCATTATTATATCCGTGTTACCCCTTCGTACCAAGCTGACGAGTGACGATGTTATTATCGTAGATCTATAATCACCTATTGTGTAACTCATACCTATGTGTGTGGGCTAACATTTCAAATCTCCAGAGCCGGCTATCTTTTCAATTCCACATTGAACTCGATCAGCGTGTGGATGTAATAAACCAAATATGCAATTTCTCTGAGATCACAATATAATTATAACAAATCTAATTTCAAAGTATCCCCTCTCACAGTGCTCCGCAGCACTTTTCCTCCTCATTTCTTAGAATTCTTCTTCCGGCTTGCCGTGTATTAAAGATCGTTTTGTTCAGCTTCTCGTATTTCGTCTCATTACACACAACCATTGTGTACAATTAGTATCGGATATACACAAGAACAACAACACAATAATAGGTCCTGATATATATATATTATTTACGGACTATTATAACGCGTGTGGGATAAGATAAACAAACGCTACACTGTAATGTACGTACACTGACTTACGTGTTGTGTCTACACCGTCCACAATTATACTACAACAGCATTGTTCTATATTTCTATAACACCACACATATTTCGTACGTTCTTTTGAGGTACGCTTTTGTTTTGAAGTTTGTTTGCAAACAATAATGATACATGTCTTCTGAAGAAAGTCGTCACTCCTCCGAAGGAAAGATTAACGTCAGGTTCGGATCAGGCTCGGCCAGGACGGTTAAACCCTTTTTTCGCAGAGGAACTGGTTCTGTGAGTGGAGGAATCAGCGGATCAGCTTTATCTCCTTACCCGGACAGTGACAGTGACATTGTTGAGCACGATCCGTCAGAGATAATCGCAGAGCAAAACAGTGATCCTAGCCGGTCCATCCTAACCAGTGGTTTCTCAGAATATACCAGTGAAGGAGGTCCAACATCTGCTGGTTCTGCTGGTGATTTAGGGGAGGAGGTCTTTGAGCTGGTTACAAATTCAGAGGAAGAGTTGCAGAAACTTCTTGAGGGATCAGAATTTGGTGAAGGAGAGCGCTCTTCAGAGGTGCACTCTGCTGATGATGAAGTTAAAGATGAGATCAAAAACCTAGGTGCTACCCTCGTCAGAACGTTAACACCCAAGGAGTTGCCAGTATTCGTCAGGACGGAGGGTGAGTCAAGTGATAACGACTCTATGGTAGAATACTCTGATGTGGAGGAGGATTCTTATCGGCCCAGTTTAATTCGGCAGTCATCACTGGGGGATTTTTTGGGTGGATCTCCTACGAAGAGCGATTCAGGTTCAGGAAGTTTGGTAGATCACGAGTCAGTGGACTCAATGATTGTTCAGTCGGACGTTGAGTCTGATTTAGGAATGAACTCGTATAAAGTTCCTATCGAGATGACGTTTGACAGATCCTCTAGTTCATCCTCTAGTTCATCCTCATCGTCAAGTTCGTCAGATCTTGACAGTGATGACTCAATGATAGTTAACTCTGACATCGATGTTGAGGTGACTGCCTCCTCAGACTCGTACAAAATTATCAAACCAATCATTCAGAAACCCAGACTTCCTAGGATCAGCAGCGAAGATGATGATGACTCCATGGTAGAGCACGATAATATTGAAATCAGTGTGAGAACTCAGTCATATAAAAAGAAATCTGTCTCCTTTATGAGCTCCGAATCTGATGCCACAAGTCAGGACAGTATGATCGAACATGATTCAGTTGAAAACCATTCAGAAAACTCTGAGGATCCAGATCAACTGAAATATTATTATGATGACTCTAAGTCTCCAGTTGCTGTTTTTATCCTATCCCCGACCCCAAGTCATATTACCCTCTCTAGTCAGACTGAACCCGATATCCAGTTATCGGGGGAAATAGATCATGATCGTTCAGAACACTCAGATGACTTCGAAACTGAAGTGAGTATTGCTACTGAGTCAGTTACATCATCATCACGCTCTCGTGCTTCATTTGAGCTCCCCGTGTCAGATAAAACGTCCTCTACATCAAAAAGTTCTTCGTCATTCGAGTTCAAGAATACTCGCCCATGAATGCCGAGCTCAGCCGTAGTGAACCTATGGATATTGATGTTTCTGTTCAAAGTGATGCTGCACCGTACAGCGAGGGTACAGCCACTATATCTGACTCTCAGTCAGGTCCAGATTATGGTGAATATTCGCCGTTCCAACAAGAAGCTGCAACTTCAAGTTCTAGTTTTGAAATGGAGACTCCGTCACTAGCAACGGACTCCCAGCTAGCTTATTTTGGAGCGGAAGTATCCAACTCTGAGCTTCTATCAAACTCTCGTTCACAAAGCATCGAAAATTTTTTATCAGTCAGGGCGCGTGAGCTTGGAGCTTCGGTGGAGTCAATCTTCAATTCAGATTTGTATGATGACCCCGCTGCATTGCGTGAGGGTATCGCAGCTGCCAAGAGTTCGAACAGCATGATTTTGGAAACAGCTCTTAAAATCATGCACTCTAAGAGCTCGGATGCGGTGCTATCACTCTGCAAAAACTTGGAACAAACATTAGATGCAAACTCATCATCTCAGTCTAACGTCGCTCTCTCATCAGACAACATCATTGAGATTACCGAGGATGAAAACGTTGTCATCAAGACAGCGAAACAACTGCTTCAAGCAACAACTGAGGAGGAACTAGAACATCTGTATCGGCTGCTGATTGATGCTGCTGGAGTTGAAGATGAGGAGGCTGCTATTGAAAGTGTCCTGACTCTGATCTCCTCATCTGATGTTCCCAGTACAACTACTGATGAATTAACAGACATTCTGACGTTTTGTCGGACCACTCTGGAAGAAAAGAAAAAAGGAGAAAAAGAGGAGAAAGAGCAACAAGGGACTCAATTCTCGTCAGCTAAGGATAACCTGATGAAACTTCTGACTGCAGAATATGATCATGACTCTGACTCAGAAACCAGGACTCACAAATCTGAGGAGGTACCGTATGCAACGCTAAGCAGTCGTTTTCAAGAGGCTAGACTGGTTCTCAGATCCACTCTGGATGAGGAGTATCCTGAGCTAAAACTTCAGGCTGAACGTCTTCGTCAAAACAGAACAATTCAGATTCCCATCCAACATTCAGAAGTTTGGCTTGCTCTTCGCTCACTGTTATTAAAAGAATTCCCACCGGACGAAGTAGACCATATCCTGAGAACTGGACGAAGATTTGAGATGAGAACGCCAGTACCCACCTGTTGTTGTTGAACCAGAAGTTAAATCTCCGAAACCTTTCAAAGCTACAGTGAATCGTCAACGTGCTGAAGATGAAGGAGAAGTCTGCGAGATCTCCGACAAAATGGCTGCCCGGATAAAAGCTATCACAGCGAGAAAGAAACTCCAACTGGCTGCAGCACGTGCTGCCAAGCAGGCTAAAGCAGAGGTGATGGAGGTGGATGCTGGTGAAGATTGCAACATTTTACCCTTTAACTTTGAGATAAGAATGAGAGCTTCAGCAATAAAAGTTCGCAAAATGATTTCATTTCAACAGAAGTTTGCTGGTGCTTTGCAGGCGAGAGTCAAGATTCGTAAAAAGGAAGAAGTTCAGGTTAAACCTAGCGACTCAGCAGTAGTGGAACACACGAAAACCGAGCCGCCCACCGCAGTTACCATTGAAAATGGAAATACATCAGATGACAATGACTCTTCATTCTGTGAGTTATCATTAGCTGATTCTGAAGTACAACTGGGAATAGCAGATTCAGAAGAGCCGGTTCAATCAGACGAGGGTCCCAAAATCTTATCAGCACAATCTCTAGAAAGTGATCTTGATGGCATTATGACTAGTATTGAGGCTGAGGTCATCCCAAATGTCGACGCTTACATTCACAGTTCTGATGAGTCTGTCCTTGTCTCAAAAGAAACCAGCACAGAGGATATCAGCGAGTCTCAGATTAGCGAGAGTTTTGGTGGAGAGATATGCCACACATCAGATGTGTTTACTCCTTGTTTAACCAGAACATCACTTTTATCCAATATAACCCGATCCGAGGAAGCTGAAACTGTTCAGCGAACTGTCGCCTCAAATCCTGACTTTGGACAGAGGTTCATATACGGGAGAAATCTTGAAAACCCTTTCCACACAATGGACATAGACAGTCCCTTCATAGACAGAGTCAGCAGAGAAGAACGGCCAGGAAAAGAAGAAAACCTAACGAGAACCTCCCACCAGTCCATGACAACTGATCTTAGCTTCTTTAACCTGGTCTCCCTGACCAACATCCCTGAATACATCCCCGGCTGTGAGCACAGGACCTGCCCCTGCTGCGCTGCTAATAAAGCCGTCATCGCCAGTCTGAGGAAACGTTTAAAAAGTATCATTGATCAGTTTAACAAACACATGGAGTTCACTCTGTTTACTCTGCTGGAGATGGCTCTGTTTTTGTTGGAGAACCCTGATCAAAGGGAAAATGCTATTGAGACCTTGGAGCGGCTGGAGGATCAGATCTGGAAGACACCCTCTGATCTGAATATTTACCAGAAGGTTCTGACATTGCTTCACTACCTGGATCAGGAGAATGCGGAGGATGAGAGTGAAATGAAGCTTCATGCTAGGGTAGGTAGAAATTTAGGAAGCTGGTAATTCTTCTATGTTATTCGTCATACATTATTTATACTTATTGTGTAATCGGATCAGTCCATAAATATCAATAGTTAGCGTGCCTAACATTTTAACATCACCGCATTCCGAAACGTCCCCTTATCTCACAATTCATTTGAATTCCACTAATACTCCAATTCAACTGGTAACAGGGAGAGAATGTTGGCACCACCACACAACCCACACCATGTAAACCCCTCACTTTTCGTTCATACCTCCCGCTCTAATGAAATTACTCGTCGCACCAGCTGCTAGCTGATCAGGTTGCACACTGGCAGAGTCCCTGGAATTTTAATAATGTTTAGTATCAGATCTTAGTGTAGTCACCACGTTTTGGCGTTGTTGTTTGTACGATCCAGGATCTATGTAATTGGTATGTTGTATTGTCTCATGAGGTGCTAATTTTTGTCCGTTCGTTGTTTCTGTACACTTGTTTTAACATTTAAGCAGAAGTTTACATTCCTTTATTTTTCTTTCAGTTTGTTTCCTTTTTCTGTTTGAGCCTCTTCCAGTCGCAGATCTTACCGACCGTTTCCTCCGTTTTCAGTGCGAGAAAGTTTTATCAGATTTAATAACAGCACACCGAGCAAGCCAGGATCAGAAGATGCCGGATCGAGCGTTCGGTACGACAATAAGTGGGAGTCACCTTATCTTGGAGGAGGAGAGACGCAGATTTAGATCTACTGGTTAGTGTTCTGTGTACTTATAAAGTAAGGTACCACGTGCACCGGACCGAATTATCACTGTTTTTCTTTCCGTAATTGAGTTTCTAACTAGTAACTTACATAAACTGTTATCTTGATTTTTCTAAGGAATCAATTTTTACATCTTCATAATTAAAAAATCATTCCCGGACTTCAAAATTATCCAAGATAAAAACAAACCGTTCATCCTTAACATATTCTCAGTTGATGACTTAGAAAAGCAGCGAGCTGAGGCGCAGGAAGAAGTGGATGACCTGATAAACGCTCTGCGGAGGGAACGAGATCTCGGAGATGAAGAGATAATCTTCCTCAAAGCACAGCTCAGAGGATTCACTGTAACTAAGTTTGAAGCTGAGGATAAGGCGGAGAACTTGGACAAGGTTTGTTTTTTTACTTTCTAGTTTATTTAGATTTTAGTGGTGTTATTTTTCAGTGTTGTTTGAAAATCAACGGTTTATTGGTAAAATATGTAGACTAAAATGTACCTAAATATAGATTTTGTAGCGTAGCCAATTAATCTGCTGTCTAATTTTCAACGTCATTTAATTCTTGACATCCCGCCTACATAAATCATACTCAATCAATTATTCCCTAAAAGGCACTGGTTCTCGTTCCCTATGCCCACAATGTTGAGCTATAGTTCTATTTTCGAATGTTGCATAACCGCACATGGTTCGTTTCTTGTTCTCCCGCCTTTTCTACACAGCTGTAACTTGGTCGGCAGTGCACGTTATTCCATGTTTCATGTGATATGCTTGTAGATTTACAGACTGTAGACTACTTGCGTGCCTCTTTTGTACTTATTTGTTACTGTACATAGTGTTGTGTTGTTGGTTGAGTCTCTGTAGGTGTGCTTACATATTTTAGGGCACATGCCTGTTCTTTTGGTAAGCAATGAGATGTTTCCGGGGAATAGTAATTTGATTCTCTTGTTTTAAGAAGGCTTTAAATGTTGGCCTACAAAAAACAGCAGATGTTTTCATTGAAACATTCAAAGTTTAGACCAGCCAAATTATGAACGCTTGTAATCGGAATTGATAGAATTCTTGCTTTGTTTTGAGGTGAAGTAAGAAATGTTATCAGGAAAACGATCAGCTGAAAGAGGAGCTGAAAAAGGAGACGTACAAGAGGAAGAAGTTAAAGGAGCGCTTCTTGGAACTTCAGGATCTCGTTAATGATGAGAGTGTCGTCTTGGTCAAAGAGGTATTTTATATTTATTTTAACCTATGGAATGTAATTAATTGGGCTGACCATTTTTCCCTGTACTGTGTATCTCAGTATTACATTTTTGTTTACAAATCTGCTTTTTTAAACATCACAGGAATGGAATTTAGGAATTGAGATATTAATGTATTGCACTAAATAGTAAACATGACATGCTTATAAACATGAGACAAGAAATTCAGAGTCACTTATCATGCTTAATATTCTAATGGTTTACTCGTACCTGGCCACGAACAACATTTAAAACTCTTTCCAATAATTATTATCAAACTTTCATGCTAAACAAAGTGCAAGCTCTAACTATAGCAGCACTGTACAGTAAACAGTTTTACTCATCATTTGTATTTGTTAAGGTTGAGAAGAAGGACGAAGAGATTGAAGCTCTGAAAGAAGACCTTCAAGACCTTAAAGACCAGGTCGCCGCAGAGAAAGAAGGCCGTGAAAAGGCCACGGATAAAGAAGATAGGCTTCTTGAAGAGTGTGAGAAGCTGAATCAGGCTGTTGACGATCTTGAGGACCAGCTCAAAGCTGTAAGTTTGGTTTATTTTTAGTCACGTTACAATGAATCGCATCGGTTAGGTACCGCTTCCTAAATTTTAAATTACAAATAAAAGAGGAAAACGTTAATTCGACATGAGTGCTCAAGACATTTTTCCATGCCTTACACCATCTTCCTCTCAGAGTCAGCGAGACGTGATAGCCTACAAAACCTACCTGGAAGAGAAGGGAGTTAACACTGACGACGTGTTTGACGACGCTCTGGTCCAGGCAAAGACCGATCTGGAGGAAGCACTCCGAGATCAGAAGGATCTTGAGGCCCAGCTTGATGAGGTACTGGTTCATATATTTTGGAAACATTTTGTTGCTGGCACATAAGTCCTGTGAACTTACAAATAGTGATAAAATATCGCACTAAAATCAAAACATTTTGTAATAATTAAGAAGATCAGGGCTATACACTTCCATAGCCTAAACCTGTTACCTATTCCAGCTAAAAGAAGCTGTCGAAGATAACGAGAAGGAGCTTCTTGAGGACATAGAAGCTAAAGCAAAGAAGATCGAACAGCTGAAGAGAGGACTTGAAGATAACGAGTACCTCCACCAGACCAAATACGATGATCTCTTCTTAGGTTTTACTGACTTTTATTTATTGGTTTTTAATTATTTTCGGCTTATTTTTGCTGAATATTGCTTGTGTTTGAAGTAGCCTAAATGTCTGAAAAAGATTGCATATTGAAGAATTAGGAAATGGCTGTTTTTAAACAAAATCCTCAGAAAACGAGAAACTGTTGGAAGACATCGAGAATCTGAAAGAGCAGCTCCAAGAACAACAGAACAACCCATCTGAAGAGCTCCCTGAATTCGGTGTGTCCCAGGAGAAATACGACCAGCTCCTAGAGGAAATGGAGAAAGAGAGCCAGGAACGCCTCAGACTCCAGAACCACTATAAGGACCTTAAATCGTACGTCGACAAGGACACAGCAGACCTCATTGCGGAGGTCCAGGAACGTGACGCTGTGATTGAGTCCATGAACGACAAACTGAATGATCTTGATAACTTGGACCAGATCCAGGCTGAGATAGACTGGGAGAGGAAACAGAGGAAGATTGATGAGCAGAAGATCTCTGAGCTGAGGATGCATATCAGTCAGGACAAGAAGGATATTGTTGCTGATTCGGAGAGGAAATCCGATATGATCAGACAACTCAAATCAACTCTCACTGGTTCGTTTATATTCATTAAATTGACCTTCGTACCGAAGGGGGTTCTGGAATAAAATAATTGATATGATAAAATGATAAAGATGAAGCAGTGCATCTCTCTGTAACTGTTTAGTTTACGACATTTAATCATATTAAATGAAACGAATACCGATCTTAAATGAAATGCGCAGCTGTTTTCTGATACACAACCCTAACTTTAGAATATATCCATCTCACTAATCAAATATGCTGAAGTAACAACCAACTGTAACCAGATGCCAAGACGAATCTGGAGCGAGCCCGATACAAACAGCGTGAGATAATAGCCAACAACCAGCGCCTGAGGGCTGGTAACCAGGCCCTTATCAAGGAGCTGGATGAGCTGAAGAAGAGGGGAGTTCCTGGGGCTCCTGTTGATAAGAAGATCGAGGATCTGATTGAGGAACTGAAGGATAGCAACAGGTCAGATAAAAAGGGTATAATTTTCTATTTAGTTTTAATGAAGATTTTATTTGAAACCGGACCATGATTGGACTGATGAATATGTGTGTATTCTGATTCATGGAGTTATTTCAACAAAAAATTCACGTACTTATCCTTATTTTGACATATTATCTGACACTACACTTATCCAGGGATCTAGACAAAGAGCGGGAACTGCGAGGTCAACTTCACCAGAGCTTCCAGGATCTGAAGAACACCCTGTCTGATGAAGAAGCGGATCTAGCTGATGAGATCTACAAACGTGATGTCATCATTGCTAACCTTCACGCGCAACTGAGGGAAGAATCAGATAGATTGGAGCAGCAGGTAGGAATAGTGAAACACTAAAGAATTTATAATTTGACCATGTGGTGTTGATTGTGAAATGAGTTAATGAAATTCTGCCTTACTTCTTATCCATAATTTTAAGATTATTATACACATTTTTGAACACCTAAAAGAATTTGATCGTAACATCTATACTTTCAGCTAAGCAATCACAGAAGAAGAGAAGAAGAGGTATTGGACGACTATCAGACTCTCAAAGAGAAAATAGAGAATGTCGAGAGAGATTGTGAGCCCGTCGGTCACCAACCAGCCATCAAGGGTGAGCAATTTAAGGAATTCCTGTAGAATTTAAGGGATTGTTTGGATTCCTGTTGATTCATTTAGGGTGCTTCGTGAAACTCTACAGAATTATTTCGGTTGAGTTTATGATACATGCCATACCTTGTACCAGCACGCATCCAGAAACTTTTATTATTGATCAATATTTAGTTCAACTCAGTAACATTTCGCTACCAATTAATTCCTCGGGAAATTTCCAAATCCTCACCCACCCTCTCTACAGAACTAGAACGGGACATGTTCGAGGACCTGACAAAGTGGCAGGAGGATGAGGTTAGGATCCTAGACACAGCACTGAATGACAGGAGCGCTCAGCTATCAGATCTGGAGGATCTGTTGAGGAACAGTGAGCCAGGGTTTGATGATGAGAGGGTGCATTATGTTAAGGAGCTAGCTTCTCAGGTAGGAACATTTGTGTTTTATCTTGGATATGTGATTTATAAGACTTGTACTGATACCCAAATTGCACCTACTGCTGCGGTTTTTGAAACTCCAGGAGCTTACAACAAGGTTTCGAGAGTTGTCAGTTTTCCGAGGAGCTAACTAAACACACTTAACTTACAACTTAAAACGATGCTAATATGACATTAGTCTCATTATTATCAGGAGAAAGAGAACAATGAGCTGCGAGCACTGAACCGCAAGATGGAGAAACTGCAGGCAGAGCGTGCTAAGCAGTATGAGAAGGAGCTGGAGGATATGAACAAGGAGTTAGAGGCACTCCGACGGAGGGTAAGTAATATTGTGATATTAAGGGGAGAGGGGGAACTGAAAACTGTGTGTGTGTGTGTGTGTGTGTGTTAAATTAGAATTTTCAACTGGCTTAGATACTACATTTTTGTGTGTACAAAATTTGCATTTATATTAATCCGAACTCATTTCATTAAATACCTTGGAGAATTTATCGTGTGATAGGATAAAGGTTCCACCGGTCTTTGATAGGATCAAAGATCTACCCTTAACCAATAGTTTGTCTGAAATCACCCCTCGTGTATCAATCTGTATGAACTGTATGAACCATGTTAATTTTATTCTGAGAATATCTCTGATACAGATGAATTGGAGCCAGATGTGAATTTTAAAACATTGCATGACGAGTGTCTGTCGGGTCTCAGTAATTTGATACATTTACATATAATCAGGCTGTATATATTTGAAACATCTGTCAATATCCACCACTATCAGTTTCCACCTTTTAAGCACCTCCTTTAACTCTAGGTACAAGCAGTTGCGCTTACACTAGCTTTTGTTACTTGTAGTTACTTGTCCTGTAGCTTTTAATGTGTTACATTATATTATGGCAATTATTGGCTAACTTATCACATCATGGGAGTGTATTGCACATTAAACTTATTACTTAAGTTACGATACGTTGAATTCGTTTCTTTTTCAACGAAGAATAAACCTCCACTTTGTCTCCTGAATTTGACAGTGCTAACGCCTAACAGTCAATAACTGCACTGTGGTTATTGTGGAAAACAAGAAGATGGTAGATGGGGATTGGGACCTATTCGTATCATCTTATTCTTACACCAGCACTCTCAGTAACATGTCATTCCTTGTTCAGTTAGGAGGAAACGTCATCACGTCAGAACCGTTCCACTGTAGTAATGAGTCTCTGCCGATAGCTGTTATGGATGTCGTCGATCTTGAGGAGAGTGGCCTTGGTAAGTTTGCAATTTTCAAATCTGCATTGTTCGTGATTTAGTTTATAGGATTGCTCAACTTACATAACTCCCCACTTTATGATTATTGTTGTTTAAGGACTAATTCTATGCAAAGTTTATTCTTGAAATTGTCGTCTGCTTGCACACTTTCAGCGCTCAGTCAATCGACAAATATTTCCGATGTATGACGTCACATTATTTCCAGGAATATCAGTGGATGTAGACGGGTTTGATCAGGTCCGCTCTACTCCCCCAGGACAGGCAGCCCCCTCACCCGCCCTCATACAGAATGAACCTGAGAAATACGACGACAGCAAGGTACGCTTTTTTAAACATCAAGAAACGTTTTTATGTTTAAACTTCCTTTAATTCGGTTTTAGAGAATATTTTTATTTTGGGTGCAGTTGGGACAGTTTGCACATAAGAATCAGGGTTAGTTAGAAGAACCTTAAATTCATTATTTGAACAATTCTAAAATGTAAAATATATATCGGTTTAAAGTGAAATAACAAGGGCACATTATCCAACATTAAGTTGATAATATAAAAGAGCTGATTCATTAAGAGATTAAGGTATTAAGGTTAAATTAGTCAGCGCATTGATAAAAATATAATCAATCGACCACGGATGCAGGAACTTTTGCTTATTCTCTGAGTTTTAACTTTGAGCGCTGCAAAATATTGATAAAATACAGTTAAGTAAAGTAACAGCAGACTAAATCATATGATTACAAAGACCTGGGTGATCTTGAAATAATAATTTAGTTGACTCTACAACTGAGACTGTAGCTTGTGAGGAACTTGCACAGCGTTGTTATACCCAGAACTAACCGTACTCAACACAGCAGTCTCTACAACATCTCCACCAGCAGTATTATTATAGTTGGGTCGTGACCGGGCCGTGTTCTCACTACAACTGATCACATCCCCTCTCCGTCTGCCCGTCAGAGTCCTGACCAGGAAGCTCCTGAAGCTTCTGTTAGTTGCTGTGTAGATAATAGGGTTCAGGATGGAGTTCAGGAAGAAGAACTCCTGGGACATGATGACAAACCAACTGGGGATGGGATAGAAGGGGTTGAGGGTTTGTATCCCGATCCTGACGACCACTGGAGTAACAGAGAAGATGAAACCCCAGGTCACGCAGCCTACTGTTATCAGCGCATTCCTCCCGGGTAACATTCCTTTTCTGCTCTTAATAGTGGCGATCACCAGGATGGCAATGTTGGAGACAGGCAGAATAACAGCAGGTATCACTATCCAGTAACAGACCCCAGACAGAAGATAGGTTACTGTTGCTTGTGTGGGGGCGGAAGTTACTGAGATCTCACAGGAACCCATCTTGGTGTCAAAGACGTAGAAAGCTCCAACAGTGTGGTAACAACTCTGAAACACAACACCTATGCTGACCAGGAGCCCCACTACGATGAAAGCGTGCCGTTTATTAAGAGACCGGGCAGTGAAGGGAGCTAGGAGACTGAGGAGCCGGTGGAGGGAGATTGTAGCTACAACCTGCATCTCCACCAGAGAGCTGATGTAACCCATGAAACCGTAGATCCAGCAACCCACTGTTCCTAATACCCACTTCTTAGCTATCATAGACAGCCACACAGAAGACATGAAGAAGACAACCACTGTGAGATCCAGTGCTGCTAAACTCTCCAACAGGACTATAGAGACAGAGTCTACAGAGAGACTGTTGTACTTGATGGAGCCGTAGAGCACGAGGGAGTTACCTACCAGTCCTGTTAGAGTAGCCAGGGAGTGGTAGAGGAGGAGGATGTTGAAACCTGCCTCTGATATCCCCATTTGGAGGGGGTTGTTTAGACTTGTGGCGTTCACTAACAACATCTTGCGGTGTTTTCAATGAAGAGTTTCTGTTAGTTAGCTCGGGTTGAGATGTCAGAGGGTAATGTCGAGAAGAAAGCTGGCGGACATGAGGTTTCTGAAATGATTTGACAGCGTTTTATAGAAATCGTTCAACTCATTATGATATCATTTTGAACCAATCGTAATAAAATTATAAGACAGCAGAAAAACAGTGGCATCGTTTTTCAAAGGGGTAATCGTACTGTAGTGCGACACGTACTCTAGTGCGACACGTACTCTAGTGCGAAGTCCGACAAAAACATCCTCTGTCGCACTACAGTACGTGTCGCACTACGATCCAGGTAGCGTACTCTAGTGCGACAAAATATCCTGACTTATTTCCAAGTTCAGGTCACATCCTATCCTTCTTATGGACCATCAAGTGATTCGTCGGGTCGGTTCACGTCACTTATTTCGAAGTGATCTTGCGAAGACGATTCGTCGGTTCACATCACGTGTTTCGAAGTTATCCACTGATCATAATTCCTTCGTGTCAGTTCAAGCCACGTATGCAGTGTGTGATCCACTGGGTAACTCTTAAGCAGCATATGATCCTCATTCCTATCACACGCATCGCGGCATCGTATGAAGGTATATCTCCGATTGGGATAACAAGTTCATATGCTTGGGCCATAAATAAGGTCACGATGATTCTACCAAAGCATCGAACAACATCAACATGTCTTCTTCAATCACCTTCATTCCTGGACGCACTACTGGTTCAAGAAACGTTATCCACGACGGATACCGCTACTGCCTGGATAAGAGTCGCAACGACAAGACCTACTAGCGATGCACTGAGAAGACCTGCTCCGGACGTCTCAGTCTGACGAACAACACTACTGTGACCTGGACGCAGCTGAAAGCAACCCTTCCCTCGGAGATGGATTCCTTTGCTGCCTAGTGACTACTACGAACCTACCTGGGTCGGAACACAAACCTCCTCTCCCCCTTGATGGGCTGCACCAACCCTACTATCTGGCGATTTATCGACGTCCTGAAGAAGGAGCAGGATCTAACCCAATGGAAGATCAACCAGAAGAATGAAGTTGCTCAGACAACTACCTCCTCGCCGACTGAAGAAGTAGACTGATTACGACCGTCGCTTGAACGCTTTGATTGATAGCTACGATGATTATGACAGAATGGATTAGTTGAAGTGTGTTGGAACAATGATTTTGAATTGAATATTGTGATTGCAATCTTTGATTTTATATTTAACCCCATTACTCATACACGACAACACTCTTGTCATCATGTGTAAAGTGTTTTGTCGCACTTTAGTTCGTGTCGCACTACAGTCCAGGTAGCGCACTGTAGTGCGACAGTGTCGGCCTTGAAAATTCTCTGTCGCACTAGGGTACGTGTCGCACTACGATCCAGGTAGCGTACTCTACTGCGACAGTGTCGATCTTGGAGGTTTCGCACTAGGGTACGTGTCGCACTAGAGTACGTGTCGCACTACAGTACGTGAACCGTTGCATGGCAGCGAGCCATTGTTAGAAAATAGAAAATACCCGAGATTCGAGCTATTTTATCTGTCAAGCTAAGGTTTTAAGATAATTCGATTTGGTGGTATGGTAGCGGGGCGACTGCCGACTATGTTACTGTCAAGCATATACTAACGATTACCAACATGAGCTGAATAGATCGGCAATATATTATGTAAGATCAATATAATCTAATTGAGCAAATCGACATTGTAGTGATGAAAAATAACGAAATAACTAAGCCACGAAGGCACGAATAAAACTCACACCTACATGATAACAATAATTGTTAACTGAAAAACTATGAAACTAATCTAACTGCAGGTATTACAAATCTATATTTCAATAAAATGTCAGCAACTTCTTCAGAATATACTGATGAAGCTGCTACGGCCTCTCCAAACTATTTATCATGTAAAACTCAGCAAACTAATACAGCTGCACGCGGTGAAACCTTAGCTGGAAATCCAGACTGAGATTCAAGGAGCGGCAACTCAGTCACTCCTCTCACTTAACAGCTATATCAATCATATTAATCGTAATTTAAAAGCTCAATTAACTGCCCCAGACTTCACTACCTTAAATATTATGTAGATTGCGAGGGGAGGGTCTAGGCGGAGTTAACAATGTGTTAGGTTGTATTGTTTTGTGGTTAGGGACACCTGTGTCATATCTGGTCTACTGTTAGGGATTAATAAGGAGGACAGTTCAGGATACTGTTAGACCTACAATAGTCCATTAGACTCCACTGTACAGTAACTCGGGAGGAGGAAGCAAAATCAGTTAAAAAGGGGTGCGTGCTATTGAACGATATCTTTTATGAAATATAAAACTCTTAGAATGCAACCAATGTTATATTTTGATTAAAAGTTAAATTCCCCTAAAGACTCGAATATGTTTAATTTATTATTTCACTAGTCCGGGGATAATTTCACAAGCCTTTTCTCGGGAGAAAACTGTTCACGTTACAGCGACTGCACTCAGAAATTACTGAGAATATAAATATCATATTCAACTTAAAACACAAAACAACCACGAGAACAGTCAATAAAACCACTGACACTGAACGGACAAAGATCTGTCTAGTGTCTACAAACCACTCCTAGTTCCCTCTCAGCGTCATCATGATGCTGCAATAGTAATAGCAGTCACTAGTCAGGTAGTTCTATTAGAAGTCATGCCATGTGGTTCCTTACAGGTGCAAATTGTTGAGTGTGAACTAAGTAGGAGGTGTTCATGGTGGTGAGCAATCTGTTAGAGCTCCGCCTGGTCCACTCAGAAGGTCATATTACTGTGGGGTGGGGGAACGGGCAATATTTGTTGTTAAAAATGGTCCTTCCGCTACGATCAAAAATTATAGGGCGGCGACTGGAATATAAGTGAAATATTTGTGGTAAATGAACCGTTTAGGTATTTAAATGCTTGATACTGCACAAAAATCGTTTACAGGTGCCAGGGGGGGCCAAATTTACATCATTTTAGAAAAAAGGAACCCAAAACGAAAAATTGGAACCCTTCCAATATTCCTAATATCTTTTTTTTGTTTTTTTTTTTTTCTTTAAAATTTATAATAGGTTTTTCGTTCGAAAAAAAACCTTAAACCCAAATTTTTTTTTTAACTACAAGTTTTCCAAAAACATTGACCCCCAATGAAAAACAAACATCAAAAACCCCAGGCCCCCGGGTTAAATTTTTTAATTTTTTTTGGAAATTTTTTTTTCATGGGAAAAAAGGAAAGTAAAAAAAAAGGTTTGTAAACCCAAAATTTTAAAAAGGAAGGGCGAATTATTAAAAAACGGAAAAATTAAATTTAAAGTTAAAAGTTAAAACAGAACAGCATACCAAGAGGGACACAGTCCCTCCGTTAAGGACCCCGCCCATGACAAAAATTAAAAGTTTAAAAGGGTGAAGGGCAAATTTGGGGGCCCCCAGATTAGGCCGGGAGGCCAATGAAAACCCGTGCACTTTCCCCCCCCCTTCCCCCTTCCCTACCCCAACCCCATGTGGTTTGGGCTTTAAAGGGTTATGATTGTAACAGGTGGTAATGATAAAGGTAATGAAGATGGTAATGTTGTCAATTTTTTAAAGGGAAAGTTTTTTTTGTAATGATTTAAAAACAATAACCCGGGTTTCCGAGGGGGAAAAAAAACCCCTTTTGGGGCAGCTTTAACCCGATTAAATTTTAATTTTGGACGGGGTCGAACCCGGAAAATTTAAAAGGATTGTGGGGAAAAACCCTTCCCCGGGTAGGACGTAAGGGGGAAGCTGCTAATTTTTAATTTTATTCCCAAACCCCAATTTTTAAAGGTTTTTTGGCCTTGCTATTTTTTCCAACTAATTCCCACAAAAAATTATGAAAAAAAATAAAAAATGAACATGAAAAAATTTAAAACTTTTTTTAACAACTGTTTCCCTAATTTAAAGTTTCCCCAAAATTATTTGACTATGGGTTTTAAAGTTTTCCCCTCTATGACTGAGGGAAAAAACCAAATCTTACCAGGGGAGACACCACCCCACTCCAGAAAAAAACCCGACCCCCCAACCAGATTAAACCCCCCCCAACATCGGGGCAACCCCAACATCTCATGGAGGGGTAAACCCCCCAAAAACCCGGTTTTTTCATTTTTTTTTAAAAATTTTTTCAAAAAAAAGAATTTTTCTTAACAGGAAAATATTTTAGTTTCTTTTCCAAAGGTTTATTAAAATTTTAATAAAGTGTTTAAAAAAATAATAAAAAAGGGGCCACCCGTTACGGGCCCCACATTTAAAAGGGATATTGAAGTGAGGGAAAAAAACCTACAAAAGTAAATAAAACTGAAAGGGGGTTGGGATGTGTTCCCTCTTCAACAGAAAATGGGGGAAAAATGAAGGATATGGGCACAATCGGGGCAAAAAAAAAAACCGGGGAAAAAAAAATAAATTAAAGATGTTTCGTAAAAAGATTAATTTACTCATTAAAATGAAGGCAAGAATCCCCTTGGGGACTTTTTCCCTTTATGGGGCTTTGGTTTTTTGAAAAAAAAATCTTTCCCCCGGGATAGAAAAAATATTTTAAGGTTTTTTCGAGGGCATCATAGGTAGGGGTATAAAAACTAATTTGGGAACGGTGACATTAAACTTATATTCATATCTGATTCTGTAGGGGGATCACTTGCCAGGACAGGTTTTTATTGTTTTAAAATTAATTTACCCTTTAAATTTTTAAAAAACTTAAAAAAAATGTTTAAACAACTTGGGAAAAAATGTCCCCCAGTACCCTAAGGGGAAAGGTATTTTCACGGGGGGGAAAGAAATGGGGAGACCCCCGAAAAACGTTTAAAAATTTTTGAACAGGTCCGGCATTTAAATAGTAAGTTTCGGGTTGAGGGGCTTAAAAAAAAGGATTTTTACCCCGCCAAATTGAATTTTTGGCCATGATTAAAATCTAAAAACTTTTTTTTTGCATAAAGTCCTCTTTTTTTGGTTTCGTGAAATTCTTTTAAAAAAATTTTTTTTCTTTGGGGGTTTTTCCCCCCCCCTTTTTCTTCCAGGGAAAATTTTAAAAGGTTTTTAAGATAAAAACAAAATTTTCCCCAAAGGGAACCGACCATAAACCAAAATTAACACGGACGCAGTAAATAAATTTGGGTTTGAAAGGAAAAGAGAACCTAGAAAAGGGAAATGGTTTGGGCAGTTTTGGGTCCAACCTCGGACCCGGGAAAGAAAAAAAAGGGCAGTGGAATTTGGGGGGGGAACGGGGTTTTGGGGCCGGGGGGCTTTAAAATTTTTATAAAAAAATTGGGTTTTTTTTCCCCTTTTTAAATTTCTTTTTTTTCCCCCGGGTGAGGGGGTTGGCTTAAATAGTATGAAAATTTTTAGGGGATACCAAAACAAAAAAAAAAACACCCCAATAAACTTAAAGTTTTTAAACTTTGTATCTACTGACCTGATATAAACATTTTACGAGCACTATAACATCACACGTGAACTGATAACAAACACCAAATTGAACTGAAAAAACTCAAAAACGTAAACTGTTTAAATTAAAACTTGGGAAAAAAAACAATAACGTTTTTAAAGATTTAAAAATTTTTCCCGGGGAAAAACTTTGGGGTAACTCAAAAACTTAAAAACTGAAAAAACAATCACAACCGTTTTAAAAGGGAAAAACCCAAAAACAAAACCAAAGGGAAACCCCAAAAATTCACAAACCCCTGAACCCTTAATTTCTTCTTTTAGATTTAAACGATAATTTGGCCCCCCGGCCGTTTAATTAAAATTTAAAACTTTTTTTGAAAAAAAACCGGGGAAGTTTTTTTCTTCCTTTAAAAATTTTTAAAAAATAACCAAATCGGGGGCCTCCCCCCTCTGGCGAAAAAAACTTTTTTTGTTTTTTCCGGGGGAAAAAATAGGTTACATAAAATAAAAAAAGAGGCGAAAAAAAAACCCCTGCAAAATTCCTGCACTTCCCAAAAAAAAAATTTGGGATTTAAATCCCCCCGTACGGACGGTAATTTTGGTTCAGCCCCAAAAATGGGCCAAATTAAAAGGTCTAACAAATAAACATATCTCAATGGCAAAAATTTTAAAAGGTCAGAAGGGAGAAACCCCCAAATTGTTTTTTGTTTCCTTTTTCTTTAGGGAAAAAACATGTTTAACTTTAATTTCTCCTGGGATTTTAATTTTAAAAAACCGGGCAATAACGCCCACCGGGGATGAAATAATTTTGAAGTAAACGAGCATCTAGGCCTTTTGCCCAGGGGGGGAATAGTTTTTAAAACAAGGGGGATTAACCAGGCTGGGCACTAAAACCAGGGTCCTACTGGGAATTTGGGGGCGGTAAAACTTTCCCCGGAAAAGGCCTTTGGGTTTTCCAGAAAAGAAAAAAGGGAACGGCCCCCCCTTTAATTGGGTTGGAAAACCATGGGGTTTTTGGGTTTGGAAAGATTTTTCCCTTTTTGAATTTGCAAACAATTTTCAACCCCCCTTAGAAATAGGGAAACTTATGAAAAACCCCGCCTTAAAGAAAACCTTGGGTAAAAATTAAAAAAGGGGCAAAATTAATTTTTTAAATGGAATACTTCCCAAAAACAAAACCCAAAAAGGGCCCCTTAAAGGAAAACCTTAAGAAGGGCAAGGGAAAAAGGTTTTTTTTGAAAAATTCAAACCTCAGCCAACCGGGGCCCCCCCCAAATCAAGGGGGTTTAAAAAAAAAATTTACTAAGCCCGGAGGGGGGGGTTTTCCAAATGAAAACTTTAAAATCAGGGTCTAAAAAATTTTTAAGGTTGGTGGCCCCCCAAAAAAGAAAGGGGTCTAATTGGTCCCAATACAGGATTTCCCTTGGGGTTTTTTAAAAAAACGGGGTTCCCCTTTTTTGTGTTCTGACAACCCTGCAAATAAAATGTTTAAAACTCCCCTTTTTGTTTAGTTTTTAAGGGAATTGTAACCCAACTGGGAACTTTTCCCCCCGGGTTTGGGGGGAATTCCTAAACTTTTTCTAAAAAAATAACCATAAACCCCCAAACCCCGTTTTAAAAAAAAATCCGTGGGGAAACCCCAAAATTTAAAATTTTTTTAAAAATTTTTAAAAACAAAAATTTTAAAACCCCAATTTTCCCAATTTTCCCTTTAACCCCTTTAAAAACCTTTTTGGTTTTTGGGCCCCGGTAAGGGTTTCATAATGCCTTTTTGGTAAATTTGGGGGGTCCGCTTATTTAAAACAAAAGCCAATTTTTAATCCCCAAATTTTTTATTTAAAAAAAGAAAATATTACCTAATTTGGGTTTTTAATTTTTTCCCCAAAACCTTGTTTGGAATTCCAAAAAAAGGGTTGGGGCTTACCCACATTGTACCCCAATGTAACAAATGGGTACATTGTTTTTAAAAACCTTTTTTTGTTACCTTTTTTGGGCCTAAAATTTAAAAGGCGGCCCAATTTTCAATCCAAAAAATTGGGGGGAACCCCGAAATAAATTGGGTTAATCCCTAATAAATTTGGTTGGCCCAAACCAAAAACAAGGGGAAAAGGGCCAACCTTGACAAAAAAAAAAATGCTTGGGTTTTTCTTTCATAAAAAACTTTATCTCCCCTTCCCCAACGTTTCCTGAAATTTTGAAAGTTATCACAATAAATTTGAAAAATTTTTGTGCCCGGGACGAAGGGGGCCCAAAGGGTTTAAAAATTTTTTTGGTTTTGGGTTAAAAATCATAAATTACCAAACGCCCTTTTTTTCCGTTTCAAAATGATGTTCTTTTAAATTTTTACCACCCAAAAAAAACCAAATTTGGGGCCAAACGGTAAAAGGTTAAAAAATTTGTAAAACGGACCCCCTTTTTAAAAAAACCCCAACCTTTTAAAATTTAAAATGTTTTTTTACTTTTTTTTACAATGCAATAATTTGGAATCTCCGTTTTTTAAAGTCCAATATAAGGGGTTGGGCCTTGTACTTTTTCCCCCCAAAAAACCCCCACGTTTGAAACCCAAAACCCCCAAAATTTAATTTAAAAATTTAAAAAACCCAAGATTTTAATTAAATTTTAAAAACCAAATTTTCAAAAAACCTCCCGAAACAAATTTATTTTAAGGGGAAAATTCCCAAGCCTTTTTTTAAACTTTTTATACTTTTTTCCCGCTTTTAAGATTGAAAATTTCACCAAAATTGGAAAGAACTGCACCAAAGGGGTTTAATTGCCCCCCCAATTTGGGGAAAGAAAAGGAATTTTTGGGCAGTTTTTTTTTTCCTTTTAAAAACCTCCCTTAAAACAACCCCCAAAAAAAAAGAACCCCAAAAACCCCCTTTTTTTTTTAAGGTTAGTTTAATAAAAAAAAAAAAAAGGGAAAAACCCAAAAATTTTTTTTTAAATATAAACCCGCCCTGAAATGGCTTTTGGAAGGGGAAAGTTTTTTTAAAAATCCCGGGAACAAAAAAAAGGGGGGGCAACCCCAATTTTGGAAAAAAATCAAACCTTGATATAAAAAAATTTTTTAGAAGGGTCTTAGAAAGTTAAAACCCCAAAAGGCAATTGAACCCACGTGGGTCAAAAATTTCCCAGGAAAGGAGAACCCCTCTCCCCCCACAGCTCCCCCCTAACCACCTGGAAGACCAAATTTAGTTTAAAATTTCCCGGGGGCCGATGGGGGCCCTTTTTTTTTTTTTTACGATGATTATATTTGGGAGGACAATGTTAGCTCAACAGGGGCCCATTTCTCTGGTAGTTCCACTGCTTATGAAACTGATTCAGAGGATGGTCGATCAGACCTGGTGGATAAGGAATTATTAGAGCAAATCAGCCCGGGTGGGGCTCACTCAGATAATACCCAACCCGATGAGGTCAATTTGTGTGATCTCAAATCAAATGAAGACAAGTTTGATGAAACGACTGAGCTTTCGGATCGGAACAGCGTTGGAGATATCTCTGTTGTAGACTGTGATGGGTCTGACAGTGGTGTTCCTTGTGACTACACTAGGTATAATCATTTTAGTAATAGTACTTCTTAAAACAGCTGTTTAGGATTCATACGATACCGATTACTAAGTCTTACAATGACGTATTCGTGATATTCATCAGTTAACAGGTTTAGATTACTGGGGACGAAATGAGAGCCGAAACGTCGACAATACATTATGTATTTTGATTTACAGTGAGTGGAGACTCTCATTTCGTACCCAAGTATTACTATTAGATACATGAGGGGCACTCAGAATTAAATTGCGGTTTGTTTGGACTGAGCTAGTTCATACTTTCGCACCGTTTTAACTACGAAAATGTAATGCGTGTTTTCGAATATAATAGGCGGGTTTATACTTTTGCATTTCAACAGCGATAGTGAAGTCCCGGCCGTAGGCACGGGTTATAAATATAAGGAAAGTTAGAAGATTAAAAAGCCGAGAATCAGGAGGTAATTGGGGGACGATAAACTACTAAGATATACATTTAAATTTAATAAAAGGAAGCCTAGTGCAATGGGTTGTAGGAACAAACGGCAACCTGGTAAAAGTTTTGAATGGACACTGGTCTAAGGGTAACAACAGGTTTTGGCAGATGCCATCCTAAAAAATAAATAAAAACTTTACAGTTTACATTCATCTTTAGTAATTAGTTACTAGTTAGGGTGATTACTTCAGGACCGTAACATTAAATAATTTGTATTCAATGGCGAATAAGGAATAAGGATGTATTAGTTAACTTATGCTTTCGGTCGCTGCAGTCGCACCAAAAGGTAAACTAAATCTAAATGAAAATTAAATAATGATCAATAAAAAATTAACAAATAAAAAACACAATTCTGGGTGGGATAGCAGGATGGGACACACGTGAAGTCATATCTACTCAGCATATGTTTTGGTTAAACTTTAATAACTTTATCATATCTTGGAATAGTTCCAATTATATTATTTCTAAGGAAGCCCCTCCGCTCCATCTGCTTCCCTGAGAGTTAAAATATTGACTTCCTGTACTCAAGTTTTGCTTTAATTTAATAAGCTCTCACATCCGCAGAAGCGATTTTGATTATTTTAATTCAGGCACGCTCCAGAGATCCCATCAGGGGGATGGAAGCTTAAGTCTAATCAACTTTCTTTTTAATAATTACTCAACTCCCTTTTAAAGGATTACTCAACTGCACGCGGAATCATATAACCTGTAGTGTAATCACATGGTCCGGATCCGTGGGACACTGGAGAGCAACCTGATGGGTCCTGAGTAGCATCATAGTAGCGATATTAGTTACCCTAGCAAGCAGCTCTAGAATTATTGTTGCCAGCGTAATGGGTACATGTCACCAATTACCCCATTACCCCATTACCCCATTAACTCATTACATCAGTGTAGACCTGGCAATCTGTTATATTATTTCATGCTGTTTGTAGTAATATATTCAGTGGTGATGTAGAGTGTTAGATCGATACTTTGTTATTATTAGTTACAAACAAAACATTTTAAACGCGTTGTTATTTCTGATGTGTTGCCAGTTAAATGGACACTAATAAAAGGTAAGTTGAGATCAGAGGGTTCTTCTGATGTGAGAGGGTTCTTCTGATATGGCTATAAGAGTGGACTGAAACTTGGATGTTGGAACTGGAGGGGTTTTATAATCAAAATAACTCCCCCCCCCCCCCCCCCCCCAAATCTGATTTGTGAATATGCGATCGTAACGTTTAACTTAAAACCCAACTCTCCCCTACAGATACGACCAGTTACACGCACGATGCAAAGCCTACAGACAGGAGATACAGGACCTCCGTAGCAGACTGAAGGAGGGTAACATCGCCCACCCTACCCCCATGGCTGGGGAGCATGCTAACCATGATCTCTGTCAGGCTGTCCACGAGCTGCTCAATGATATCGGTTAGTGGTTGCAGAGCGTTGGTCAGATTATTGGTGTTTCATTATGGTCATGGTGTCTGACTTAGGTGGATTGTGTTCAGTGCCCTTTTAGTTGTATTTTTATTATAACCATCCTATCGTGAGTTCCTTAAGTGAATAAAGTTCATAGTGCCCTTTTGTCGGATAATAAACCTTATATAGAGCTGTAGTAAGAGCCTCATATTAAAAGTTATATTATTACTCGGCGTTCATTGTCCCGCCATATCCGGAGTCTAGGCAGTAGACTGTTTGTCTATACTTCATATTATACATGACCACATTGTGCGGTAAAATTCATCTTATCTGGCAAATATGCAAAACAGGATTCTGAAATAGAGCTCTCAACGTTGAATCAACTTGAAAAATCCCACATTTTTTTTCTAATCTCTCGAAATTTGAGCTACATTCCTGTTCAAGGTGCCATATCACTCTTGTATCTGCCCCTGATATTTCATTGTGTGGCTGGACAAAAGATTTACGTATCACAGAGCTGGAGAGAGAAGCTTTTTAAAACTTGTAAGGTGCACGCTGAAAGTGTATTGGATATCGTGCATTCTCTTTCGTGTTAGCTTGTTGTCGTGTATAGTTCACTAGTTCGCCAGTGTTGAGATATCTGATGTTGTTAATCCAGAAAAGTCCGTCTAATTTGTACTCCAAATTTGACTGTTGTTTCATTGGTGGGTTTTAACTTTCAAACATTTGCCGGTTACATTTTTTTAACAATATATTGTGATTTTAACGGCTTTCTTTCCTGGATTCGACTCAGTGAGGAGCAGCATATTAGGAATTTGAAACTAAACCCGCGACTCTAGTAGAATTAAGATCACCATATTATGATATCTCCGATTCTCTAACACCACAAACCCTCCAGACTCAGGACCCTCCACAGCAGATGGACGAACCAGGGCTCCTTCAATTCAGGAGATCTCCAGACTCCTTCTCCCTGTCACAGAGCAGAGTCAGACAGCACCTGCCGTCTTCGCTACTCCTGACGGAGCTGCCTTCAAAGAGTATGTCAAAGTTCAAACACAAGAAATATTGACAAATTTTGCTAATAGCAGATCTAGTTGCTAATATGTTATTAATCTTGCGCTTCTATTTCTCAATCAACTCTTCTCTTCCCAAAAAGCAATCTTGGTCGCCACTATCCTCTCTCCAATATTCCAATACCTCAAAACAAAAAGTATAACACATCACTTCCCACAGAGACTGTGACGTTATCCAAGAGAAGACAGACGAACTAACAGACCTAGTTAAGGGTCTCCACAGTAGACTAGATGCACAGAAACAAGCCAAGATAGACGCACTCCAGGATAAGGTTAAAGAGTACGAGAAGGAAATGGACCGTCTCAGAGACCTTATTGGTTGGTAGATTTTACTGTTATCCTCAAAATAAACGTCTTAAATGTCTAATATTTCCAACTTCCGATCGATAGCAAGTATTTTTGGGCTACTTTTATACATAACTCATTTCTGGAATCTTTGATAACTTGATAATTTATATTAACAAGACTTGTAGTTGATCTCTAATCTCGTTATCAGGAGAGGAATCAGAGAAGGAGAACGAGTTGGAAGCATTGAGGGAGAGGAACAGACAACTAGCTCTCAACCTCAGGGACTCTCAAGGGGATCTAGAGGGTGCTGAGAGGAAGAACGGAATTCTAACTGGTACGTTTAGCTTGTTATGATAATGATTTATTTACAGTTCTACCTATATACCACTAAAATGTTATAAATAGATTCTTGATAATCGCCTATTTTGGTTGGGATAATTAGACAGAACTAAATACTCCGTGATGATAAAGTTTTATAATTTTAAATGATATTCTTTCCTCAGATAAGTTCAAAGAAGCTAATGATGCTCTGACGACAGCATCAGATGAGTTACAGGAGCTGAGAAGAAAGACAAGAGAGCGGGAGGCTTACATCCGACAACTTCAGGTAAAATACTAAATAGCACTACTTTTTATTACTTGCTCTGTTATCTTATGTGCTACTGCTGGACACATGACCCGTGCTGGCAAGTGAGACAAGTTTCGGATTTAGTTAAACTTCACGTTCAACATCACTCCTTAGTACCAGCAGTCCTGGCAGCTATTGTTGAACATTCCACAGCATTCCACAGCACTCCTCTGAAGCTACAGTTGCCAAGTGCTAATAGTGACTAACCACTGATCTGCATTTTATCGCTCGTCATGTCCCTCAGTTAGCGCATGTTGTTAATACCAATCTTTGATGTGGCTTTTTTTACCGAGCACCGTGCATTAATTTGTAATAACGTTGACTTTGTGAAGTGCTACTTGTGAAGTGCTACTTGTGAAGTGCTACTTGTTTAGTTATGCCTAGTCGTACTGGTATCAACTACCGTTTGGATCCATCCTTCCGGTCCCAATCCTGGTTTCAATCGATCTCAGGGTCAACCTCAGAACAAATTGTAAAGCAGAGAAGAACTGAAACAGTTTTCAAAACTTCTTATCGTTATCAGAAAGAAGAGGTTCAGATATCTCGGACCTCATCTGTTGTTTCAGTTTCTTCTCCACCTACAAAGGAGAAGCAGGAATCAAGCACCCCGACAAAAGAAGGCAACTCTCTTGTTTCTGTGAAGGGGTCCACTCAAAGTACAACTAGTAGAAAGCCACCTCTTATTTCTATCTACAACACTAAAGCATCAGATAGCTCGTATGGTACCTTCCTTCAAGGTTCATTTGATGACAAGGCCCCACCCCCAGTCCCACAAAGAGATCAAAATGTCCCGCCACTAATTCCTAAAAGAGACATTCAAGATCCTCTGATAGTTCCTAAAGAGAAGGAAAATGAAAGAGAACAAGCAATTTTATCTTTCCTATCGAGATTTGTAAAAGAGACCAAAATAATTGATGCTGAGGTAAAATTGGCGGATAAAGCTAGGATTATAAAGTAGGATGTAATTCTAACAAAAATAAATAATAATAATCTTATCAATAACCCGTTTTATTTTGCAGGAGAGCTTAAGGCAAGCTGACGACCGAATAGAAGAAAAGGATCAGTCGAACGAGAACCTGAGGAACAACTGTGACGAACTCCAAGAGAAGGCTCAGCAGCTTTCCCTTCTTATTAAAGAGGTGAGCAGACCAATAACCTTGTCTTTTTCTTTAACTTTAATGTACTCTTTGTGATAAATGGTAGGCTGTTGCTTCAGTGCTTGGTAGTACACTGCACATGGGTTTGTTTGAGCGACGAATCCCAAGTCACGTGGTACTAAATTGTGGGCTTTACGGCTCAAAATGAATGATAACTGCAAACTTATTGGTCAAATTTGCACAGATGGTGCCGCCTACTTTAAATATATTTTAGTTATTATGTATGGATATGTCTGTTGTTGAATATTTTAATAGTAAACTTCTATTTTATTGGAGGAGTGTTATCAAGATCCTTAGCATTTGCTTATTTTATGCTATAACAGTGATACTATCCTAAATAGCCTCACCAATACTTTGTATAGATCATTTTACGGATGTTAAACTATGAGGATGATAAGGCTATAATAATAATAATGTATTACTATGTACTATTATAATTCTATGTGCTCTCTTCAGCTCTAATACATTAAGTTTTATCTTATTACTTCAAGAAAATACATTTTATTTTATCCCAGGTCGAAACTAAGTTTGTAGAGAAGAGTAGACAGTACACGATACTGGAGAAGGACCTCACAAAACTGAAGGACGACCACAAGGTCATCACTGAGTTCTGTGACAAGAAAAACATTAAGGTAAATGACACGTGACTCACTCAATGACGTCACGGTTAATCTGTGATGTCATTTTAATTCATGTTCCGTGAGTTTGGGAGGAGGTTTACATTTGAGCTCCATCTAAAAGTCATTAAGTCATCAGAGCGGCTGTGTTTAACCTCATTGTCAAGCATCTTCCCTCTTTTCCCCTGAGAAAGTGCGTTAAAACACAGTTAAACACCTGCTGTAAGCCAGATCATCGCCTTCCTGACACTTTAAACGTCTAGCCTGGGTTATACTTATCCTACGATAAAATATCCTCTCAGATTTTATTTTCCGTCCACAGATTTTGTTTTTACATCTCATTCTAACAATCTCACGTTCCTTTGCTCTGTTTCTCAATGAATACAGCGGATGTTAATCGATATTTCTTCATAAGCCCGGGAAAAGACGTCTGCACTTGGTCTCAGGTACCCACTGGGCCTGGTTTTGGTTATATGGTGTTCCCTTTGTATCTACTCAGTCATATTCATGCTAATTCATATCCATCTTTAACAAAAAGATACTGCAATAATAATGAATAATACATGGAGGTATCAAATGACGAAGCCGTGCGATGCTTAGATCACAGAAAGTTGGCTCTCCATCAAAAAACTAAAATGTTAACCAGATCCTTACTCAACTAATGACCTGATACGAAGACATGCTCGATTTCACACCCCTCAAGTTTTCATGTTGCTCACTTACACCGTTAGGGCATTAATGATCTAACAAAACATTAACAGACACATTTGTTTTTAACGATTTTGTGTTTGTTTCGACTGTTGAGCAGTATTTTAGTGCAATAGAAGACCGGTTGATTATGGTTATCCCCATTTATAAGCGAGATGGCAGGGAAAGAGCAAAGAACGAAATGTCGATTGAATTGTTTCAGCTTCACTTCTTGAATAACCATGAGTCCAAATCAGAGCTCATCTTGAATCGCCATGAATCAAAATCACAGCATTTCTACCAGTCGTTTTTGTATCATTTGAAAGCGGGCAATATCAATGTAATATATCTTCTTGTTAATCTGAAATCCAACCGAATCCTAAACTAAATTGTTACCCAACGTCATAATTTCGACTGTTGATGTAATTTACATTGCCTTAAACTCTTAAACCGGTTACGGTCACCGGAATAGAAACTCCATACAGCCCGATAAATGTGTCTTTCATAGTCGTTACTCCTTCATAATTTAAGCCTACCAATTTTACAGATCGACGAGTTAGAGCACGATCTGAGGGATCTGATCAAGGAGAACCAGAAGCTGGTGGAAGAGAACGCTCAGCTCACAGACGAAACACAGGTTAAAGATGAGAAGATCAAGGAGCTGGAGAACAGGTTGGATGCTAAGGAGAGACTTATCACCGAGCTTGAGAAGGCTGCTAACAAGATGGCCGGTTAGTTCTACTAAGTGTTCTGTAAAAATGTTGTTTGGGGAGAAATCCCCAGAAAATTCTTGGTATGATTGTGCCTGATCAAGGCTTAATTTCCATCGTTTTCATCGATAATTCTTTAACATATTGAGTTACACGAATCCTTGTCCCAGATGACTTAGTTGCGCGAGATAGCGTCCTGCATACCATGAACAACGAGATAGAGAAAATGGAGAAGGAGCTGGACGAGAAGGACGAACTGATGAAACAACTTGAAGAGGATCTGGAACAGCAGGACAAGGATCTGGAGAAGATTGAACATGTACGTTCAGCTGTTATTTCTTTGGATATATTATTTAACCTGGCTTTGAGAACTTATATTTACTTGAATTTGTAAACTTACCATGATAATTCGTGCACATTTGTCGAACCAATGAATGTGATGACAATAATTTCTCAGGAGCTTGAAGACACCAAAGATGATGTCAAAGAGAAAGAAGCTGAAAACATCAAGCTAGAAGACGAGAAGAAAGACATCGAAGAAGAAAAAGCCAAGGTTGAAGATGAAAAAGAAAAGCTTGAGGACGAAAAGCAAAAGTTAGAAGATGATTTGGTAAAAGCAGACGATGAGAACAAGAAGCTGAATGATATTATCGATAAGTTGGAAGATATGATCGACAATCTGAAGGAAGATGTCGAGAAACTGGAGAAAGAAGTTCAAGACAAGGATGATACTATCAAGGATCTGGAAGATGAGATCGAAAAACTCAAGCAACAGTTGAAGGTAAGTGTGACAGCTTATTTTCGTAAATTGCAAATAATAAGAACTTTCGTAACTGTTGACACATTGTTACCTTTAGGGCGTGGTCTTCTGGTTCCACGTACAGTAATACTATTAAATTCTATATGCGAAAACTACTAAGCAGCATCTCCATTTGATCAGTACCACTGAAACTAGTTTGTCTGTTGACTGTTTAACCATACAATCTGTTCAGGATGCCAAGCTTGATGACGACAAAGTAAAGGATCTGCTGGAAGATCTGGAAAAAGACCTGGAGGAAAAACAAAAGGAGCTAGATGACGCCAATAAAATGATCGATGAGCTCAACGATGAGGTAATATTGGTTACCGTCACCTGGTTTGCTGACTTTAGAACTCAACTTTCTGTGCAACTACAATATGTATTAACTTATTAATCGATAATGATAATCCAAATTAATCAGCTAATCCCTTTAACAGCTGGAAGAAGCTAAGCCTGAGATCGAGAGACTTCTAGACGAGGTAAAGAGACTGGAAGATGAGGCGAAGGATCTGGAGGATACTTTGAAAGAAGAGAAGGAGGCTGCTGAGGCTGTCAAGGACGAAAATGATACACTACTAATCAAATCTGGAAGATGTTATTCTAAAAACTCAAGCAACGTTAAAGGTAGTGTGACAATTATTCTAAATTAGCATAAAATAAGAATTTACGAACGGTGACACATTGTTACCTTCAGGGGTGGCTTCTGTTCCAGAACATAATACATAAATTCCTTTAGCGAAAAACATAGCAGCATTCATATTGAAGTACTCTCTGAAACTAGTTATATTTGACTGTTTACCAACAAATGTTACAGGATGCTGCAATGATGAATGACAAAGTAAAGATCTGCTGGAAGATCTGGAAAGACTGCAGGAAATAACTAAAAGGACTAGATACGCAATAAAATACGATGTCCTCAACGATGAGGTAAATAATGGTTACCGTCACGGTTTGTGACTATAGAACTCAACTCTGTGCACACATAGTAGTAACTTATTAATTGATAGATAATCCAAATTGAACAGTATCCTTTAACAGCGAAAAAGCTTACCTAGATCAGAGACTTCTAACGATACCCTTAAAGACGACTGTAGATAAATTAAAGGTAGGTAATCTTTTAGTGATACCCCCTTCTTACGCACCGAGAAAGTTAACTGCAACATATGATACTGCTGAAATTCTGAGCGATTCAAATTTCGCACAAATCATATCTGACGAGTATTTTCTATTCTTAGGACACAGTCGACGATCAAAAGGACGATCTTGACAATCTAGCTAAAATAGTAGACGATTTGGAAAAAGATATTGAAGAGGCAGAGGGTGATAACAAGGAACTTACCGATGAGAATGAGGAACTGAAGAAAAATATCGAAGACCTCGCTCAACAAAAACAAGACATTTTAGGTAACAGTTTGAATTTCTTTTATTCGATACAAGAGAAATGACGCTCTTGGACGCGAAAATATAAACGTTGTTGTCAATATAAACATATAGATTGGCACGAATTCTTCATCACTTACTGAAATACTGAACGAGTAAACTAATTTTTCTTCAGATGAAGTGCAAGAAGCAATGAAGGATATGGACGGAGAAAGGGATGACTACAAAGACAATCTAGAGCAGCTGAAGGACTTCCTTGAGGCTCAGAAAACTGACATGGACGATCTTAAGTCACAGGTAACAAACTTTATCTAACTTCGCTACAAAAGTACTGTATTCCATTTTAATAACAATAGTGTAACTTTGATATGATCCTCAGTCCTCACATAGCAAATGCTAATTCAAATTGTTTCAGAATGACAACTTCAATAAAGTAATTATTTTGTTTGTAACCTTGTATCCTTACCTCTTGCACCTTGATTAATTCCAAGTTAAACATTTGAAGATTCTCATGTTCATTGTTCAATTATGATTTGTTCTTTGTGCACTTTCAATTGTCCAAAAAATAAATTCGAATTCTTAGTTTAATATTGTTTCAATAAATGTATGCTTTCGATTGACCTAAGCTTTTAATAATAATGGTTTAGGGATCGTTCACATATTACGTAATCAGCTGAGGGGGGGGGGGGTTCCGAATGATTACGTTAGTGTAATTTTGACACAATTGACAATAGCTATGTGTAAAACTGATTACGGAGGGGGGGGGGGGGGGTAAAAATGTTCCAAAAATGATTACGTTATATGTGAACGACCCCTTATGGTACTGTTGATATAAAGTAGTTGACTCTCCGGAAACTGAATATTTCCTCCGCATTTCCTCTGAATTTAGTCTCTATTTAGTCAGTATAGCCCAGTTATCAGTATAACTCACTACAACTTCCTTTAGATCGTAGAGAAGCCTGAGATGGAGAACAGGTGTATGCAGACTGATGTGAACGAGACAAGATCCGTCCGGCAACAGACGGACGAACAAGAAACCATGAATGTCATGATACAGGTACTTTTATCTTCACTTTATTCTCTCTCAATATTTCACTTTTATAAAAATTTATCTTTGTTTTCTCTAAATATTTGACTTAAATCCCTGAAGACTTCACTAACCTCTGTGATAATGTTCTTGTTTGGAGAAACATTTCTACAACATATTATACCGAGATTCTTTCAGACCGTGATAGAAGAAATGAAGCCCCCAGTTCGAAGCAGACGTATCCAAACAGAAATGGACATGAAGTTCATGGCGGCCAAATCCTCATCCAAAACAGAAACCCGGAAATCCTCCTCGATCCATATCATCAAAGCTTTGATGACAACAATAGACCGACCCACTCAGACTGTCGACTTACCATTTTAAAATTAGAGAATGTGTTAGTTTCTTGTAGGAGTGAGCCGACCTTTTAGACTAGCCGCAGGATTAGAAGAATTGGCATAGCATGGTTACGTTTTAAACCAAGTATTCATTTATAGGAATTACAAATCTCAGAGTCTATTGTAGAGGGGTTGTTAAACTTGAATTGTGCTCATCAACTTCAAGTTATGTTTCGTGATTGGCGACTATAATTTAGTTCGGTATTAATTTTAATTTGACATATTTCCCGATTTGCTCTCACTCAATGACATTATTATTTTGCCACTGTTTTACAGTGTTTATCATAGCATTAAGTTTAATAACTTTCAGGTTTTTAACTATTTTATATTTTAAAGAGTTTTTCAGTTGAAAGAGTTCAGTTCGAAATCAAGTTTAACGTACTATCTTAGGTGAATGTTCTTTTTATTATATGATTGATTGATGATGGATGAAACATCGAATGATAACTTCAATAGGTTTATTTTGTATATACAATTATTATTATCATTATTATCACAATTACCTTGCGACTGAAGGTACTTTATCAATCAATTTCTTTTATTCGCGTATTTTTAACTTCAAGTACAACTAGCCAAACCTATTAAAGAGACGTGCTACTGTAATGTGTAATGTGTATTCAGTATCGACTAAATAGTCAGATTATTGGGACATGGGAAACGCTCCTTGGACTATAAGTATAATATAAATAATCATGAATCAACGGATTGCGAACACGTTGCTCCATAAAATTTGCATTGACAAATCCTCTAGTACGACCAAATTAATGTGGACGCTTTCCTTTGCGCTCATTCGTTTCTGGTTTTACACTCCTAGCTATCAGTATCTTAATGTGAAAGAATAGCTAAGCTAGCCGTAGTGATAGACCATGCAGCGAGCGCGCATGAAGGGCTTTTATCATTTTGCTCGCCCTGAAATTATTACGTGACTTGGGTTTTTACGATTTTGCATTTGCGTCTTGCTTGACACACGCTGTAACCACTTTTGATCGCGTGCACGAGAGGTATACAACGTGTAGCAACGTCTTGCAACCAAAAAAACAGTTTCACATAAAGTATAATAAACCCTACTCCCCAACAATAAACCAAAAGCTTATATCATTAGACAAAGTCATACTCATAAACCAATTTGCAAATACCAATCTGGCTGAAAAGTAAAAATTATACAATGAATCATTTTAATTTTTGAGCTCTAGCTTGTTATTCTCTAATTTCAAAATTGTATTCCAATTTGTAATTGATTCACGATCATATCAACGATGTCAATCCTTTACAGCTCGGTGAGGCCCAATGGTCCATTTCCCTCATCTAGTACTGAATAGAAGTGTGGTTGCAAGAAACATTATTAATCAATGCGCGGCGCGGCCCAGTATAACTATAGTGGGTAGCGCTACAAAATTGTTTAGGGCTCGGGTTCCGGGGTTCGTTATAGGGTTAGGGTTGTGGTAAGGGTTATATTATGGTAAGGGTTATATTATGGTTAGCTTCGGGGTTATGGTTAGGGTTAGGGTTGTATCACGTTGCGACCCCCACGGTCGTTTCACTTTATCGTCCTGACGATACAGGGGGAGCCGCGCACTTCGTGCGCGGCGGGTCATACAACGTATGACAAGGTTATATATATTAGGGTTGGGATCAGGGTTTATGTAAAACCGTTGTGTATGCGGCTGCAAAACCATAAAAACCAAAGTCACGTGAAATTTTTGGGCGAGCGAATTAGTAAAAGCCACAAAACGTAAATAGAAATTAAAATTAATGAAATTCGTGACATACGTTGCATGCCACTTTTCGCGCGCGAAGAGTGCACCGCCGAAGCTGCGGAAATATTTTTGATATGTGTGATACGTAACATGTATCAATGAAATTCATAGGTAAATTTTACAATTAAATCGAAAATAAATACAAACTCGACTTCGAAATAAACATAATTTAATAACGCTACCAAACTTTTTTATTTTCATGATTTCATCATGTCCATGATCCATTTCATATTTCTTTGGTAAATAATTTGTCTGTTAGGTGTGTTTTATGTGTTTGTTATATAAAATGTCCTTTGTTCTGAGTTCTCAATGCCAGGCCAGGTACACAAGCCATTTTTGAATCATTAGACAAACTTTCATATTTCAGATTCAGTGACAGGCGACAATGATTTTGTCATATTTTTGCTCATTTCTACCATCTCTTGACTTTGAATCAGGTCTGCAGCGTTTAAAGTTGCGCCTAATGTGCTCAGCCTGTTGACCTCATTTGGTTGATTTTGACAGCATGTCAAGAAAAATCTTACGGCATTTAAAAAATACTGCCTCATCTCTTTATTTCTTAAGAAATATATTAGTGGGTTTAGTGCACTATTCAACGGTACAGCATAGAAAATGCCAAACTTTAATACAAAGTTTTGACTTAAACGATAACCAAAGTAAAGTTTGAGTACTCCCGATACAAAATAAAATGTGTTGAGAAGAGAAAAGACAGTTGATAAAATCGCAACAGTCACAGTTGCCTGGAGACCAGTTTCCCGTGATCTTTCATTAATATTTGCAATTTTAAATATGCTTATTATGCTGATAAAGTTTGATATGAGAACTAGAATAATCATTAATCCAACTACTCCTAAATTTAATGCACAATGAACTTTATAGTTGTAATTGTCTATGTTTGTGAGCAGTATTATCCAGAATGATATTTCTCGAACGATCGTATGAATAATGAATAAAACTGCTGACATAGCCACATATAACCCTCTTATGTTATACCATGGTAAACTGACACTCAGACACCGTGTTATGCTAAGAATTAAGGTTGTAAAGCCAGTCCCTTCAACACTTACCATATACAGGGATTGTAAAACGTTTTCAATAGTCACCCAAAAGGCCACCTTTTCAGAACTCTGCTGCAAGATTTGTTGTATGAAAGCAGTAAAGCAAACACAGATATCTAAGCAGTTGAGGAACATCAGCAACCTGGAACCTGAATTGGTATGTGTTATTAATTGGTCCTTTCCTTCTTCTCAATGAATATACAATTTAGATAGGTGCCGATGATTTGATCATAAATTTGACTAATTCTGGACTAGTGCAACATTGATTAACACTTACCAAGCGGGGTATCTCTTTTCCTCCAAAAGAAAGATAAAGACAAGATGTTCAGAATAAAGCCACATCCTGCTATTGCTGCTATTCCATAAACTTGCCACATGTCTTTGTCTTTCTCTGTTGTCAGCATATGCTATCTGTAGTCCTTCTAGGCTAATTTATCTATATTTTAAACAATCCAAAAGGAATGATTAAGCAAATGCTACTCTCAAAGTGACTCACTGAACATAGAACCCACCACTGCACTGGGTAGAACTGAGAAAAGATGATTTTTTTTGAGAAAAGACAATTTTATTATTTATCGCCAATTCATTGTACAATCAATCAATAAATATTTATCCAAATAAATAATACCCAACTAAATTTTAACGCTAGATGGTAACATCAAACAAACAATTATAAATATACTTGATCTGAGTGCAAAGTAAATGAGTATGCTAGCAGCTATTATAGTGCACTGGTTTATAATCAATAATAGACTTTGTTAAAGTCAGCCTGACCGCTCTGTCACTCTCATTACCGCAGTTGGTGAAATGATCCAGGCACCATTAAGCTAGTATGAACTCTAATTGACTGCTGAGAGTGGCGACGGGTTTGACATTTAAGTAATTATTCAAAATGTTGATGACATAATTGCTATATTCCAGTAAAATTTAATGTTTAAATTAATAATACTTTCAACACTACAGCTACTATATTATAACAAATAATTTGAGGCTCTAAGGATGTAGTTTTACGAAGATTTCAAGCCTTACGTGTGTGTTTCCCTTCGAGGTCAAAATCAAAATTGTTTTTGCCCACGGACTACCTGACACTCACGTACCACCCCTAACCCCCCAGAAGACCTAGTTTGTCGTAAAATTGAGGTTAACAATTGCCTATTTTATCAGTTAACCTTGCAAATACCTGGTTCTTAACATTTTGTTCCTATCATCTCAAGTTAATATTATCTGCTAGAATCATAATTCTATGTAAGTTCATTACCTTTTAGTTTATTAACCTATTCAACCTATTTAACCCTGTATTTCCCATGGGTATCAATCAGCCGTCTAACGTCAACAAACATATTTTCTCAAAAATCAGTCTTGGCTCTCCTGAAACCACCTTTAAAACTTATTTTCCCCTACTAGAGCTGTCATTCATTTCATCTCAAATTTGGAACTCTTTTTATGAGGTTAACTGTCGAAAATTGTCGAAAATTCAGTGACGCGCACTCATTGTTAACCTCATATCTAAGCTTAGGAGCAAAATATCAAAAATCGCTACATATTTCCGTTGGACAAAACTTTGACAAACACTGTTGCCAAGTTACAAGGTCCCATTTCGTAAACTGTAAAAGAAGATGAATTTCAGCCAAAACTTCATTTAAAGTTTTCATTTGCAATAGAATTACAGGTTAACTTCAAAATTTGATGCGCTATATCTATAGATGAGAAACTTCTTTTTTGTTGAAGACAAAAGCATTTGAAAATTTTGATCAAGCTTTACAACATGTCTCAAAATTGACCTCAGACCTTTGTCCTTAATTTATTGAATTATTCAAAAGATTTATAAAATATAATGAATGCAACAAACACAATTTTGCAAATGTAACCAAATTTTGGTTCCTAGTTTTTGTGTAGCCCAAATATTTTGTATTATATATATACAAAATATTTGACCATTACATATAATTATATATATATAAATATATGTAATGGTCAAGGACCTACAAATATACCTTCAAGTAAGCAAGGAAAGTAAAACAGTAAAATCTGTACATTTTGCAATCATTGTCTTGTCAGGGGCCTTATATATAATATTATATTTTAGTATAATACATTTTACCCTATAATTTAAAACCATCACTCCTATCTAGGATGTACTATGTCTTTTTGATTGTATCAACGCGTTTACTTCATTCTACTCTTAACAAGCTTGACATAACTTCCTCAAAGATGATGGCTAGCCCAATCCCAAAACTGCAACCTGGACAAAAGGTACGTGACTGGCGTAGACTGTACAATGTACATTGCAGCTACAGCCCTGTAAGTAACAGAGAAGCAACAGATAAACCTTCTTCCAGAATATGGAGCAGGAGACGCTGGAGAAATCCTAATTGCAGAAAGCTGACAGCTAAAACTACTACCGTAGCGGCTTTAAATGAGACAAAATACAGTCACACCTGGGGTTCAGAGGAATTTATTTTCTCCCTTTGAATCAATCAAGCTAGATGATTTGTTGTAAATGCTTCAAGATCAAACTATAAATTTACAGGCTATCGTCAAACATGTTGCAAGGTGTCATCTTCAGTGACATAAACCTAAAAACACCTGGGGTTTCGCCTTTTTAAAGTTTGTAATTATTGTTTTTTCATTGATATCCATTTTTCTACCAACACATTTTGTTGCTACAAATGAGAGAGTGCTACGACACCGTAATTGGGCTCTCTCAATCCGG